CCCCTATTATCACCATGTCTGATAAGATTTTCTCCTTCATCGTCGCCTACCTGGCGGCGAACAACTTTGAGGCTGAGGCTGCGCGCGTGAGCAAGGCCGTTGCCAAGGCCGGCCACACTGTTGAGCCCCTTTCCCTTGACACTATTGGGGTCGTCACTTTGGCCATCAGCATCGCCCTGAAGGCGTACGTACAGGCGCTCATGCATGCCCACACACATATGCACACGCACACACACACACACACACACACACACACACACACACACACACACACAGGCGGAGCCTTCCCACCGATTGATGCCTTGTCGGGCCTCCTTGCGACTCCGGGGGCTTTTCTTCAGCTGAAGCTCCTTGCTCTCGCTCCCACTCTCTTTCTGCTTCTCTCCCCGCCTTTCGCAGAAGGGACATTAACATTTACGACCCTTCCGTCGCGCCCCCGATCCTCTCGCCTCCTCGTTCGTCGGTCCATCCGACAGCTCCTTCAGCTCTGATTCTGACTCAGGCAGCAGCAGCAGCAGCAGCTCCGACTCCAGCAGCAGCTCCGACTCCGACTCCAGCAGCTCCGACTCCGACTCCGACTCCAGCAGCTCCGACTCCGGCTCCAGCAGTTCCGACTCCGGCTCCAGCTCCAGCTCTGACTCCGAGTCTGGCTCCAGCTCCAGCTCTGCGTCCGGGTCTGGCTCCTCCTCCAGCTCCTCCTCCAGCTCCTCCTCCAGCTCCTCCTCCAGCTCCTCCTCTAGCTCGTCTTCTAGCTCCAGCTCTTCTTCCAGCTCCAGCTCTTCTGGCGAGGAGTCCGAGGAGGAGCTCCCGTCCATGATCAAGAAGCGTGCTCTCCCCGTTTCTGAAGTCGAGATGGTCTCCCGCAAGCGCGCCAAGGTCGCCAAGATCGTTGTTGCTGTGTCTAGCTCCGACTCTAGCAGCTCCGACTCCAGCAGCTCCTCGTCCAGCTCCAGCTCCAGCTCTTCGTCCAGCTCCAGCTCCAGCTCCAGCTCTTCGTCCAGCTCCAGCTCCTCCTCTGGCTCGAGCTCCAGCTCGGGCAGCTCTAGCAGCTCCAGCTCCGATAGCAGCTCCAGCTCGGGGTCTTCTTCGAGCTCTGACAGCAGCTCCAGCTCCGGCTCCTCTTCGAGCTCCGCCAGCGGCTCCAGCTCCGATTCCTCCTCCAGCTCCGGCTCCTCCTCCAGCTCCGGCTCCTCCTCCAGCTCCGGCTCCTCCTCCAGCTCTGACTCCTCCTCTGACTCCGGCTCCGAGTCCGACACCCCGGCCCCCGCTCCGCTGAAGTTCAACCCGCCGAAGAAGCCCCTCCCCCCGAAGGACGGCGACAAGCCGCGCTTCTTCCAGCGTGTCGATGCCACCAAGGTCCAGTACGCTGGTGACTCGCTGCGCGACAACTCCTACCGCTCGACCTTCGGCAGCGATGCCTCTTCGTACGGCTTCAAGGCCAACGCCGCCCTCGAGCGCACTCGCGGCAAGGGCTTCCGCCATGAGAAGACCAAGAAGAAGCGTGGTTCCTACCGCGGCGGCAACATCGACATGGGCGTCAACTCCTTCCGCTTCTCCGACAACGAGGACTAAATGCCGCCGCTTGTGCTGTGGCCTCTCCTCCAAAGAAAAAAAAGGCGAGAACGACCTTGCGCGCCGAGTCTGACCAGGGCCCTGGTACTTGCTCCGATGAATGGCAGCATGGATCATGGAGACATGCCCATGTCTTCCCTGTTCCCCCCTCCCCCTCTCCCCACGCTTTCCTCCTTTTTCGAATCACCATCTTCTTCCCTTTTCGCCCTCCCCCCCACCCATGTGCCCCGAAATACAAAACCATAGACACAGCGAGAGCGAGAGCGAGGGAGAGCGAGAGAGAGAGAGAGAGAGAGAGAGAGAGAGGGAGAGGGAGAGGGAGAGGGAGGGAGCAAAGTGAAAGGAGCAGACAAGCCAAGAGTTCAGGAAACTCCGACCGCACCTCCGCGGCCGGTGGGCGCCCTGCTGTCGCGCGATCGGGGTCCTTGCCCAGGCGTCCGGTGGGAGAGGGCCGCGAGCCGAGGCCGGACGCCCGAACTGCCGGGCACATGCCAGGTGTTCCCCTCGTGTGTTACGTCGACAGGCTCCGGCCTGCCTGCCCCTTCGCCCCGGGGACCAGGGACAATACACGCCAGAATGCGCCTAGTGCCAACGCAATGCGGCCGCCGTTCTTCGCCGTTGGCGACCCCCTGGGGGGGGGGCCGAGGCGGTTCTGGTTGCCGCGGGACACCAGCGCGAGCGGAGAACGGCGCCCTGGGAGAGGGGGCCTGCCCGCGGACTTGACGACTTCGGGCCTTGGGGGGAAGGGGCGGGGCGGGGCGGAGATTCGCCTGGGCGCGAACTCGCCCGACACTCGGAAGAAGAGCCTGGAACGCCGCCGGCGGGGGGGGGGGACTCATCGGAAAGACATCCCCACATGGAGAAGACCCATTTATCCCCCGGCCGGGTCCCCGCAGCGCTGGCGCCTTGGGCCTGACAAGCGCCGCCCACACTGCGCCCCCTCCCCCTGATGCGTGTCTTCCTCCGGGGGGGCGGACGTGCTTTGGCAATTTGGCCAGCGCGCCAGACGGACCGCCACCGACACCGCAGCCGTCCGTCCCCCCCCCCCCCCCCCGGCGGGGGGGGGGGGGGGGGGGGGGTGGGGGGGGTGGGGGGGGGGGGGGGGGGGGAGGAGGACAAGCAGCGACCGGCCTTTTGCTCGCTACCCGCCCCAGCCCCTGGGCTGTAAATTCCCTTTTCCTCGCGAGGGGGGGGAGGGTCCACTGGCAGGCGTCATCCGGGGGGTATGGTGGAGGATTCCGCCTGGCCCGAGCGCACGCCCTCATTCCTCTTTTGCCTCGGCCTCCTCCTCTCCGGGGGCCGGGGGAGGGGGGGGGCCGGGCCGACCGTCGGGGAGGGCATGCCCAGCGCCTCCTGGCTCGCCAGGGCCTGGCAGAGCACACCAGGAGCCTCGGGGCTGTGCCTTGCCCTGCTCCCGCCACCCCCCCCTGATTTTTGTTCGCGAAGCACATGCCTTTGCTCCTGGGCCTTTGCCTCCCCGTGTCTGCATCTGTTGGCTGCCCTTTGCATGAGGCGCTACCGGCGCGGCCTGGTGGGTATGCGCCACTTGCGCACCTCGGACTCGGCCGCCGGTCCGGCCCGTACGTGGATTAATGCCATTTGAACGGCCCGTCCATCTGCAGCCAGCCCGCCAGGGAGCCTGCATGCAAACGGTGCCACAACCGGCCTTCGGGGCTTCGGGCCCGGGGGCGCCACATGCACACACGCACATACACACGGTTGGACCTCTATCTATGCGAGACCTCCACCCGTACGCACGCACACACACGCATGTGTGCAAACACAGGCACTTGTCCCGACTGACGGTTCTTTGGGCCAGGCCAGCCGGGAGCGGGGGGGAGGGGGGGGGGGGGTGGCCAGGCAAGCATACCTCCTTTGTCTGGCGATGCCTGGAGTCGACTTTTCTCGACGAGGACGCCCTGCTTGTGGAGCCGACCACCGAAAGAGAGGGCATTCCCCGAGGTGCTCCGCCCCTGGGGTGGTCCCTCGGTGAAGGTGTGAGGTCGGTCAACTCCCGGGGCTATGTGTCCCCCCGCCCCGGGGGGGGGGAACAGGCTAAGCCCAGGGGGCGTTTTCCCAACAGCAGCGGTGGCAGTGCGCACCAGAGGCGGGGGGGGGGGGGGGCGGGGGGGCGTGGTGCGCCCCCCCCCCCCCCCCCCGCTCCTGGTCCTGACGCGCATCTGGGGAAGGGGATCAGTTTTTTCTGCAGCCGAGTCCAAGCCCCGCGAGGGAAGGGTATGCCAGGCAGCCCCCTTTCTCCACTCCTCCCTCCCCGCCCGCATCCCTGCTTGCACACTCCCCTGCACACACACACCTTCGCGCACACACACACCTTCGCGCACGCACGCACGCACGCACGCACACGCAAACGCATATACACGTGTCCTTCTCTCCCTCTCCCCCCCCTCCTCCACCCCTCCCCGTCTTCTCTCCTGTCGCACCAAACGCTAAAGTGAAAGAGCGAAAGAGAGTGATCGCGCCCAGAGATCAGGCTTTCCTCCCCATCCCTTTACCTCCTTCTGTTGCCGCCGTCACCGCTGCATCCCGGTCGCCCCTCTCCCTCCACGTCGCCTCGCTTCCCCCTTCGCTGCCCCTTCTGAGCAGCCGCCCCCCTGGGCTCCCCTGTGCAAATGACGATGAAGGTGTGTCACTGTCCCCCTCCCC